CTCAAAGATATTATGCCAGGGACAGTATGTAGGAAGAATCCTGTTAATGAAAAAAAAAAAAAAAAAGTTTGTTAATGTTTGTGGGGTCTTCCTAGGCCCTCTGGAAAGGACTTTGAAAAAATAGGAAAAAGCAGTCAGACTTCTGTCCACAACACTGAACACCCAGGAACAGCATCTACAAGCTTATCAACCACTATTGTAGGGATTTGTGTTCCCAAAAGTCTCCTATCCAAAGAGGCCCCTCATAATAGCAAAAACTATTATATAAGAAACTTGGAAAGGACTATGTCATTTTTTTATTTTTGAGGCTGCACAAAATTTCAATTTTAAGAACAAATTATTTGACCCCAGAACTTCAACGGTTTAATTTTCCAAAGTTGGATTAAAAAAACCTTTTTTTAAAATTTAGTGGTTTAGAAATATGAGTTCTTTGACATCACCCTCCAAGTACCTAGTTTGGTCAACCAAGTGTCTATATGTCTAGCCATGAAAGGAGCAAATGTCTAACCTCTGCCCTTAAGAATACATAACGTTTATGTGTGTGTGTTTACCACATCGATATATAAATAACTCCAGGGTAGAACTGTACACTCATGGGATATTAAAGAACAAATTCCACTATTCCTGGGCAAGGTGACACAGATACAAAACCAACACAAGCCCACAACCACATTCACTAAACTCTAAAAGGTGTGCAATGATTGTTTCTTTGTTAATAGATTCATTTGTTCAATGGAGGGGACTTATCCTACCATATATCCAGTCAACTCTGTACTAATGCCTAAGATTGGATGGTGAATTGTGAACAGAAGACATATCTTACACACACATATCACAATTTAAGGGCAAACAGGTTAAAGTATTTAAGTCTTGAATAAAAGTAATTTATGATCCAAAAATGGTATCAGTTATCCTCAGTTCACTATTTTGTGGACAGTTTTACTGTTACTGTATTTCTCTTCACTATTAACTAAACTTTAGACTTTACCTTGACACAGATTTTTCCATGAATGTCTTCTTTCTGTTCCAGGATCCAGTCCAATGTTCCACATTGCATGTAATTGTTCTATGTTCCAAGCCTTCTCTGATCTGTGAGTGTCTCAGTATTGTCTTTTCATGATCTTAACAGTCTACAGGAATACCAGGCTCATATCTGTCTTGTAGAATGTCCCCAATCTGAGTGTGTCTGAGGTTTTTCTCATGAGTACACTGGAATTATGAGCTTGGGAGAAAACTACCATAGTGGTCAAGTGCCCTTTTGATCATATGAAATGGGATGCAAGTCAACCATGGGATATCACTGATGATGTTAACTTTTAACACTTGGCGAAGACAGTGGCTACCAGGTTTCTTCTCTGTAAAGTTATGATGGTTTTCCATTATTTTTTAGAAGTGGGGTATTAAGTCTAGCCCATCCTTAGCCAGGAGATGGCTTGAAAGGGAAGAGAAACTATAATTCCCATTATTTGAATATTTCTATGAAGGAGATATGTCTCTTCTTTCTCTTATTTTACATACATAAAATTTGTTATTTATATTGGTATGGATTTCTGGGTATTTAAGTGGTATTTTGGATTACAATACTATTATCCACTACTATTAAGTCATCGGGAAAGTCATGATGTATTTTTTCCATACAAATATGTGTCACAACTTGCCCGATGACCCAATATGTGTCTTTTTGTTGCTCAATCATTCCAGCTAGGGCTATCGAGAGATAGTTCTCTCCCAACCCCTCCGACCAATAACATTTTTTTCTTATTCATGACAGAATATGAGAGAGAGAGAGAAGACATGCTTCACCATAGTCTGGTCACACTGTGACCTCCTTCCTCCAGTTTGTTAGATCTGGGCACTACTTACAGCTATAGCTAGTGTGTCTCAGGCTGACAGTGCCTTGGATTTAACCATTTTTGCCATGGGGGATCTGGATTTTCTTGAGCAGTGTATTACTAGTGCACCAAGAGCCACCCCTTAAGGTATCAATTATTAGGAGTTCTATCTAGGTCAATTCCTTTTAAGCCAACATTCTTTAATAGTAGCTGAGAGCCAAATTGTAGTGGGGCAGCACAACATGTAAGGGAATCACATACGGAAAGGTTTCCAGTTCAAGCTCAGAGACCTTCCCAACACAAGGGTCACTCACATGTGTGAGCCCCTGATCCTGTCCTGACTCTAAGGCAGGAGGTGGATCGCAGCACTGGGACCCTCCTGAGGATGTTTTCTCTCTTTCTCTCTCTGCCTCAACCATGGAAGAAATAAACTTAAAAAAACAAAACCAAACAAAAATACTTTAAACAGTTGAGCATTTATAGTGATCTCTAATACCACCCACCCGAAAAATTCTTTCCTGCTTAGCCATATTGATAGTGATTTACATTAACCAGTTCATCTTAACAGATCCATGCCAAGAGTTTATCACCTCTTCTATAATACTGATGAAGAACAACAATGCACTGGAGCAAACTGGGTTGTACACCTGATTCCCAAGGTGAGCTGCTGCACTCTATAATCCATTTAGTAACACAAAATAAATGCATACTTTTCTTTACTTGATGTAAAAAAAAATCACTATTTGACTAGGAGTCAAATAGTGACCAAGAAGGTTATAAACTAATAGGAATCTAAGGAGATTTGTAGGCTGCTATTTTTTCCATAGCATTATCTGTAAACTTCTGCAACATATATTGGGTTGTCGGAAAAGTCATGGCATTTTTCTATGCAAAAAATGTCAAGGCTTCTCTAACAACCCAATAAAAAAATATTTTTAGGTAAGCTGGCATGACTGTTAAATTTGGTTTTTTGTTTATGACCCATTTACCTCGTCTTTTAGACACCTGCATTATTAATAGGTACCGACACATTTCTCTAATCTTTCATAATACCAATTTGTCAGGAAAAGGTCACCAGATTCTGCTAGGATTTCCCACTTAGCCACACACAAAATAACCATTCACAGTACTGCAAACCTTGTTTCTCTACAGGAGGCCAAAGCATCTGTCTTCCAACACTGTGGGTCTTCAAGTACAAAAACCAAATTAAAATGTGCTTACATAGTTTATTTTTAAAGTACTTTCAAACACAGTGTAAATATACATTACAGATATTGTGTCAATTTAGATTAGGAATAACATGAGGTTATTTACATGTTGGCATACATATGTGTGTGTATATACATATATATGCACAAAGTGCAGATAAATACAGAAACACTACAAAATAAACAAAAAATTCAGTATAATTTACCAACAATCATTTTTCATATTTATTACTTAATTTGTCATGTTAATGGCTGCAAAGAAGCTCCTAGAACTGAAATATAATATCTAAATATCCAACTTTTATATAAACTATAGTACCTCAAATTTTAAACAGGATATAAATAGGATTTTGAATTAAAAACCTAGGTGTCTTCCCTGCCAAAATCCCTATATGCAAAGGTTTCACCTCAGAGTTAAAGACGACTCTTGAAATCTCAGCCTTAAATAAGGGGTGATACTTTGAACTTTAAACATAAAACATAGGTAGGCAGTGCTCTTTAACTGGTTCTAGTGGGCACCATTCTCTGCAGAAAAGATGTGGTTGAGGACACAATGGCGGATACAAACTGTCTAACATGTGGTACATAGAGAACATGTGCTTGTTATCTGAGAAACAGTGAATTCAAGGCAAAACTGGATTGCCCTCAGCCTTGGAGGGGTAAAGGCCATGGGAAATGCCGGTGAGAGATAGATGGCAGATGGGACAAAGGGGAGAGAGCGGTCATCTGACTGAGATGGTCTTGGCATCTTCAGCCCACAGCTCCCGCCAACAATTACGTTTCTCAAGGAACTCTGTATACAAGCATCTTGAGTGGTGGAGAATATTTACTTTTCTAATAACTGAAGATGGTCCCTGCCTTTTGGGTCTCCCTAGTAAACACAGACTCCATTTCTCTCCTTAACACCAAGAAATGTTAACCATGAATGTCTCTTGTAAGTGCCAAAGGGGAGAACAAAGGGCCTGCTGGGTTCTCTAACCCATATAACATCCCCTAAATTTTGCTTTAGGAGACACAGATCCATTTCTAGCCCTGGCTTCTTGTGGATGCTATCCATCTTATTTAAGATTTTTATTTAAGTACAATTGCCCTAAATAAATGAAAATTTAAATGTATTGATCGGTTCCTCTAAAAGTCCACATCATTCACAAGCCCAAGTTTTCCTGAGGTTATTACCAAGTGGAACCATTTTGAAGCAGGGTTAAAATGATGACAATGGATGGAAGCAGTGAATGTGTTCAGGAAATTGAGACTAGTTGATAAATACCAGTTAATAACCCTGTGAATCAACAGAAAACACAGGCAGGACATAGACTGCAGAAAGGCTAACCTCATTTTTAAAAAGAGTTTTGACTGGAAAGGAACAGAAAAGGCTAAGAGGCAAAATTAGGTAGTGACACATACCGGAAGAAGGAAACTTTCAGTCAAGAGGAAAATAACTTTTGGACAATAGTCAAATCTCTGATTTTTTTTTTTTTTAACCAGGTGATATGATTTTGAGGTGACCTATCTAGTGATGAGAGGTCATGGTAAAAGCTTTAAACTACAAACGTATCATAAAACTGAAGAAGAAAACTTGTTCTTAAAGTTGTCTGCCTCTGACTCCATCCAAAAAGCACATATTAGGGCCAGCAGATGGCATGGTGATTAAGGCGCTGGATTCCCACATGGCTGAATACGGTTCAAGTCTTAGACCCAGTGGCTTGAAAATCACGCTGAGTGTGTGTGTGCATGTGTGCCTTCCCTGGGAAGGAGGGAGTTCTAACTTTCCTTCTCTCTATTTCTCTCCAGCAATTGAATGTACGTTATGGCAAAAAAAACAAAAACAAAAACAAAAAAAAACAAAACAAAAAAACAAACAAAAAAACACACATCAAGTTGGGGGTTCTAATGCCAAGTAAGCATTCTGAATACATAATTGAGGCTATCACTACAAATTAAAGAGGCAAAGCTCTCACCAATATCCATGAGAAGGATATCGTTTTCTACTCAGACCAAAGGAATGAGGCTGGGTGTGACAAGGTCAGCAGGGTGTCATCCTCACAGGATGGTAAAAGACTGTCTTCTTCACAACATAGTGGATGGTTAGAAGGAATGCCACACATGTAAAGCTAGTTATAGATTAAGAATAAAAGTAATTTCTTCTTCCTATTTGAGAACCTGGATAGTCTGGGATCATTAAGTACCTTTTTCCCCCCCTCCACCATATTTGCAAGAGCTACTGTTGAGAGGCCTGGCTACGCTCACATACCTTATGAAACACAGAGAACCAATGTAACAAGCAAGGTGCTCACGTCAAACAAGGAGAAAAGTCATCTTGCATACTTCATGGACTTCAAAAAATACAAAGATTACTACTTAGATATTCACATATAACAGGAAGATCTTTCAGTTGATTGACTGACTAGTTTCTATAAACTTGGTAGAATTATGGCACCACACAAGAGTCAACTGTAAAACAGGCACGTGTTTTGTACACCAAGATGTTTTCATATAACACAGGAGATGGCTGACTCAGACCCCTTGATCTCATCCTCACACTGACTACACTGCGAGAACGGATTAGAGTGCACAGATGGTGTGTCTGGAAGGTGTGGATGTAGCGAGTCTAACATATCTTCACATTGTTCCTGAAAAGCTAAGGTTTTGTTACTGAAATGCTATTACACTTTTGAATGTGACTGATCTTCTCAAAGGCCTGGAATTACCTTCCTATGTAATATTCCATATGATTTCAAGTGCATATCTTGATTTTCTTAATGCTCACAAATACCTTAACTGTAGGATATGTACTTCAAGGGAAAAGCAATGTGAGCCTGTATCTAGTAATAGCCACAAGCTGCTTACCCATGTAACCAGTAGGAAAAAGAGCCTCCTCGCAACTCTACTGCATTTAAACTTCAGACAGAGGCACAGCGTGGATCAGCACTGTCATAGCTTGTTTCAGGAAAGGGCCCAGAGCAAGTATTGCTACCATACATGCCTCACCATCGGCAAAGCCTCCCAGGCTTCACACCCACATCCTGCACAGCTAAAGCTTTCATTCCTCTCTGAGCATCAGTAGAATTAGCTCACAGACAACTCACAGGCAGGAACACTCTGGTCTGTGTTAAAATAAAATGAAGGTTGAGATTGCTTTATGCAGCAGCAAATGAAGTAGGACTTTGAATCTCTCTTTCAAGTCAAGTTGGTCTGCGAAAGAAAGTCAATTTGCTTTAAGAGGTTCTAATGTAGCAGGATGCCAGATGATGGCAAAAGTGCTTAAACTGAGGTGCCGTATAGACAAAAGGACTAGTACATTGGGAAGACTATCTTCTGTTCCAGCAGAGGGAAATGAGTGTCAGCAATGCGATTATTACCACAAAGGGCCACCAGGGACCTACACCAAGATGCTCCAGCCTCCCCTGATTGCAACGAACAGAGATCAATGGTAGGAGAGAAAAGAAATAGATAACAACCTTTTATCAGAGTTTCCCATTCCATTACTAATTTTTATAACATTAAAATACTTTTCATTTCTGTATTTCAATCATTGACATTTAGTCCTGGTTGTCTCTCTGCCTCCTGTTACTCTCTTTCTTTGTTAGTTCTAATCCACTGTTTTTATTTTTAATAGCATAGATGCTCTATGGCATGGCTGGGTGTGTGTGCGCAATGTGTATTAACCTGTTACTTCTACACACAACATTTAAAGAAGAGATTGAAATTACAGATAATATCATATAAACACAGTTTAACAGTCAATACCTGAGTGTCCATACAGTGTGGAACTCTGAAGTCACGAGTAAGATATCAAGACCAAGCAGGCCAGAGCTATGGCAGTCCAATGGCAGTAGCCAGCTTTATGGAACCTTGAGAAGAAAGCTCTTTGCCACATGTAGACATTTATAGAAAACCTAAATTAGAATTATTAAAATGGAAATGCTAGAAATAATGATCAATGCATGACCAGAGGTTGAGGATATATGTATACATGGGCAGTAAAGGGATCTATTTATGCTCTATAAATTCAGTGACATTCCTAATAAAGGCTGTAAATGGAATGACATAAAAGAAAATCATGTCCAGATTTTATTCCTCATAAAGATGATGGCACAATTTCCAACTTTGTGGTTAGAAATAATTTAAGAATCCTGAACCTTTGTGATTATTTGTCATTTCAATTAAGCATAGACTTTAGAAGCACAGCTTCCCTTCTAGAGTCTTCAAACATCTTCATCATTTATATAAAAACATCTCAAAAGCCAAAATTGGATATCATTAAGACTTGGATACTTAACAGCAGTACAAGTGGAATTTAAGTTGTATGCCTTTATACTACACTTTCGTAATTCTTAAATAATTGTAATTATTCTTCTGTGATACCTTTATAATGCTACTAGCAGAGGAGATGTGCATATGATTTATATATATTTATACATTAACAGAATAAAGTTTTATAGAAATTCAAAAGTTATGAAAATAGTTCTACACATCCTCTAATTAGACCAGGGATCAGCAATCTATGACCCAAGAACAATATCCAGCTCACCATGAAAATATTTACTACCAGGTACCTTAAAGCTTTATAGAAATAGTTTGCTGCTCCCTGTTCTACACCTGTAGAAGGTATCTGGAATGCTAAATGAATTGTTTACAGTGGTATCAGTGTATGACTTAATCTGGCTTTCTTTACAGATATCATATACATTATTGCTTTTGAATATTATCATCTACTTGGAAAACAAACAAAAATAAAATTATGTTAAAACAAAGACTCATATCCTTGAAATGTTTAGGACCAGCAAAACAATCATATATAAAAGCAGTATATTTTTAAGAAAAAATAATAAATGAACAATTTATATTACATTTTAAAGTAATGATTTCAAGGTTCCTTAAAGAGTGCAATGCAGAAAGAACAGATCTAAAAATACATATAGTAGATTTTGGGTTTCCAAATATATGTGTATATAACACAGTATTTGAGATTCCACAGTTGCTATGGAAGAGACATTGTGGAGGGTTACTGATTGTTAAAAAAAAATAAAAAAAAAGGAAAGAAAGAAGAAAAACATTTTAAAATAAGAAACCAGCCAGAAAAGAATGGCCAATCATTTAAACATTTTTTTCTTCTTTTTTTTCCATTGATAGGGACCTTCATAGTCTGCTGGTGAAGAACTTGAAAGAAATTGACTGTTTCCATTTAGTGGGTGGATCCCCATATCTGTGTCAGATAAAAATCATAGCATTTACTACTTGTTACCATGGATACCATGAAGATACTGCCATCCACTAAATAGTATTAGAGGAACACAACATAATTTTCTGGGACTAGTCCTGTTTTGCCTTCATAAGTTGCCTTTAACCATCCTGGTTCCACTGATGGGTACACTGGCAAAATAAACAAATGAATGTCAGTCAACTTTAACTTCAAATAATTATATAAACGAATGGTTAAAAAATTGTTATCAGATTGCATGTATACATACAATGCAAACTGTCAACACACAATATGTCACAGCCCTTTTAAGGTCAGAATGTCCTTTGCACTCACATAATCTATTAAAAAAATTCTCTCCCCTCCCTTTTCATACCATGTGCATACATGCATGTGTGCATGGGAAGAAATGGGTCCAGAGGGATCTCAGGTGTTCACTTAAGCAGATTATGAGGCAAGGCCTGGGATTGAATGGAGAGTTCCTGGCTTGTACTTTAAACTCTTAACATCATTAAATTCTCTCATCCTCCCATTGATAGAAAATTTAAGTGAAGGGAATGGATGTACTTACCGTTAGAAAATATTGCCCCCTGTGGGAAGGAGAGCTCGTGACTATGCTCCGCTTTACAGGAGTACATGGCTTTGGCTTGGCTGAAAGATCAAGGCACTTTGTAAAGACCACACAACACTAAGCACATCTATCCTTAAAACGTTTTTAAAAATAGAAAGTACATGCATGCAAGAAAGAGAGAGAGAAAGAAAAGTACCCTGTGCAGAGTCCTGTCATGTGGCAATTCCTTTTTCTCAGTCCTGAAGCTCATCAGGACTCTGGTGGGCCACACATGGCCTTGGTATTTTCAGGCCCACCTGGGAATCTAAACCCGTGGCTGGCCATGTGGCTCCCAGCACTGCACTTCAGTGCACTACAGACTGTGCCACCTAGATTGGGCCCTTAAAACTATTCTAAAAGAATGCTATTAGTTTCAACTTGCAATAAAAATAAATAACATACATAGACTAAATACACATATACAAGTACTTGGGTACATTTTCTACTAACTAAACACAATTGTGTAACCAGATAAAGAAATCGAACCTTAGCACACAAAAGCCCTTTCTTAGTTTCTAGGCTATGACCCTCAAGAGTAACCATCTGGCTTATAACCAATGGCAAAGTGTGCTTTTAAAATCGACTATTTGGTTTTGTTCTTTTTGGGGAGGGAGTGATTTTTGCTCTAGGGTATATATATTTGCCGGAGAGACAGAGACAGAAAGTGAGAAATCACCCCCCAGGGAGGATGGCCATGCCACAATCCCTTTTCCTCCATTCTTGATTTTGGACATGCATGCACATGTGCCTGGCCTCAGTTTAAGCCACTGGGTCCAGGACCGGAATGGTGGTCAACTATGTGGGAGTACAACAACATAATCATTTTGTCATCTGCTCGTCCTCTCTGTTATTATTTGTTAGTAAGCTACTAGACTGTTTATACAACTATACAGAAACCAAAGTTCATAGGTACCATTAAACTTTATTTTTATTTGAAACTTTTCATTTTCAGACTGCTCGAGGTGAGGCCCAAAAATTGAAATGTCTGCAGTGTTATAGTAAATAAGTGATGGATATGACAATAAGAAAAATAACACGAGAAGATGATGACAAATGGTGGCCAACTAGTCTGACTTCCTGGGAGACAATGGGAAAAGGGTGAAGTTTTGCAAACCAGAGTACTCACCTCCCAAGGCTCCCAACATCTGATGCTATATACGAATTCATGAACAAGGCAGCTACACACTCTGCCAGAATGTCAGTTTAATATGCAATCTGAGTTTTAAAAATCGGATCTAACACTAAAAAGGCATTATCTTAGGCTGTGTCTTAGTCTGTTTCTGTGCTACTAACAGAAACACCAGAGACTGGGAGATTTAAGAGAATAAGGATCTATTTTGAAGGCATCAGCCTGGCATCAGGCCAGCCTACAACATGGCCCATGGAAGCACGAAGGATGGCAGGTGTGTGTTGACAGAAAGAACTTCTGACAACTCTTTCCTAACAACCGACTTTTTTGTTTGTTTGTTTGTTTTTGAGAGATTTTCGCTATAGGGGGGCGTGCGCTCGCCAGACAGACAGAGAGAGACAGAGAGACAGGAAGTGAGAAATCACCCCCAGTGGGGATGGTCACGCTGCAATCCCTTCTCCTCCATTCTCCTCTCGGGATCTTGGGTATGCAAGCACATGCTCCCGGCGTGAGTTTTAAGCCACCGGGTCCGGGACGCGAATCGTGTTCGACTACGTGGGAGTCCAGCGACATAGCCATTACGCTAACTCCTGGTTCCCTTAACAACCAGCTTTTGTGAGAACCTGACACTTCTGAAGAGATCAGAAACTCACCCGGTCTCGTGAGACATCATTCATCTATTCATGAGTGCGCCTCTATGATGCAATCACCAAAACCCATCACCGGGAACCAGCAGTTAGTGTAATGGCTATGTCGTTGGACTCCCATGTAGTCGACCGCAGTTCGCGTCCCGGACCCGGTGGCTTAAAACTCACGCCAGGTGCATGTGTGCCCAAGATCCCGAGAGGAGAATGGAGGAGAAGGGAATGCGGTGTGACCATCCCCCCTGGGGATGATTTCTCACTTTCTGTCTCTCTGTCTCTCTCTGTCTGTCTGGCGAGCGCACGTGCCCTATAGCGAAAACCTCTCAAACAAACAAACAAACAAACAAAAAACAAAACCCATCACCACCTACTAGGCCTCGTCACATTCCAAAAGGTAAAACTTGGAAGAACCAAACCATCCTCCAAATCTTAACAGGTCACCAGACTAGTCCCCTTAACTCTGCAACATTCAGTTGCCTCCGTAATACTTGCAATTTCTCCTCACTCCAGCCACTTATGCCTCCCACAAAGCCCAAGTCGTATCATCTCTGCCCTGCTTGACTGAATGACACCCTGACTTCCTAAAACCTGAGCTTCCTTTTTTGTTCCTTTATAATCCATTATCTACAGAGCGGCCAGAGAACAACTGTAAAGGGTCTGTCAGAGCTTATTACTTCCCAAATAACAACCCTCCACTGGTCTCCCACTGTAACTGTAAACAGAGGAGCCTACTAGTCTCTCCTGCCTCCTCTTGGGCTCACTTCTATTCATCCACTCAGCCGCAGGGCCCCTTTTCTCTCCCTGGAACATGCCAAACTCATTCCCACATCAGGGCTGGCTGTGCCCCTGTCCCTGAGATGATTTCCTCTTAATCTTCACGTGGCTACGCACTTCAGGTTCATCTGGAATTTCATGGGTTGGCTGAAGGCAAGGCTTTTCCCTGACCACACACTCAAACGGCTGCCTGGGCAACTACAGTATCTTCCCTCCTGCTTCAGTCTGCATGGTGTTAGTAACCGAGATTCTGTTGTTGGTACTAATATTTTTGTATTCTCACCCAACTACAATATAACCTCCACAAAGGACACCTGAAGCATTTAGCAGTAACTCAGTAAACATATGCTACACAAATAAGTGAAAATAAAAAGATGCTTTAGGCTCTTTTGAGGCACCTTGTCTGTCCTTCCTGCGGTCCCAGCACTGCACCTGCACAGGGTCTTACAGTGACACTTCCAGAGTGGGCTCAGTCATTTAAACCAGGGTTTCCAGAGATTATCTGAAGACTAGAAAGCCTATAAAGGAAAGTTCTGGCTGGCCTCTGAGTCTGTTTAATTTGAGTAAGTATCAGTCATCTTTTGAGGAAGCTTACTAGGAGGGCAGGTTGGGGAACAACTCTCAGTCCACACACCAAGTCCCAGTGACACATGATCTATGAAGAACTGAAGAAGTGCCGGCACCCAGATGGACAGGGCTTTGTACTAGAAAAAAGCTGTATGTGTGTGCCCGTGAACACACGCATGTGGGAGACTTGCTGCATATAAATGGGAAGTGGGGCAGAAAATGATACCAAGTGCTGAAGACCTCTATCATAACCATAACCTTAAATACAATACTGTGTTTTCCTATACATCTTCTGGCTGAATATTGCCATTCGTTCGAACCAGGATATAGTTGAGGATTACAGAGCCATTTCGCTACAAGTAAAGTTTTCCCCTAAAATCATATTTTCTAATAGTATTAATCTTCTCCAATAAACACTAAGTCTTATGTGAGTCAATAAGATACCTTTTAAAGAGGTTGACAAGAAAAACATTTCCAAAGTTGTAGAAATTATTATGATATAATAATGTTTGCAATTATGTAACTTCTGAAAACTGTATTTTGAAAAGTAACCCAGACCTGGCCATGGCAGCACATGCAATATGCTGTTGCTTGGCAGGCTGAGGCCAGATGGGAGGCCCAGGTTTGATTCCTGGCCCACCTTGAAAGTCAGATAGGGTTGCACATGTCTGTGGCTGTGCAGGGGCTGAGGCAGTAAGAACCTGTCTAAAATGACAGGCAGAAATGAATGCAGCCAAATTTTAAAATGAATATTTTAGGTAGGATGTTCTCCTTATAGTACTTATGGGACAGGATGGGCATACAGACTAATTATGTCACTACATACGTGAATATTGTTAAACAGGTGACAAATACACAGGACAAAACCCTGTCATGACTTTTCAATTATTTGTGCATGTGACCACACAGATAGCATTTTCTTCTGCTGGGATCTGTAACTACGGGTGTTAACTCGGCAGCAAGCTTTGATGATTTAATCTAGATTTCTGTGACTGTGAAGTTTCCTCTCTAGGTGCTAATGCTTCGTCTTTTACTGCCTTGGTGTATTGAAGAGGATGTGAAAATAATACTCTCACTTCCTTTGTCTTTCTTCAGAAGATTCTAATATCTCTTTGAAAAGAATTTTGAAAATCCTGCTTTTTACTGCATGAAAGAATAAGGTAATGACACCACAGTCCTGAAAGCCATTTCTTTCCTTCTCATCATGAAAATAATCTGCTCACACACCTCATTCCTAATGCCACATGTCATGTACTGCTGACAAGTAAACATACAAAGGTTTCATAAGGTCAATGTGCACAATTCACCGATGCTCATTGTAAATATAAGAGAAGTAAAAAATTCACCAAAACTGAGGGTCCCCAGGAGGATCACTTAACAATGCTAACCCACAACGTACACATGCATGCCCAAGCAGCAACTACAAATAATGAAATGGGAGCACATGTGCCATGAAACAATGTTAGTATGTAAGGCAAAAATTCTACAAATTTGTTGTGACCAGACCTTTAAATTCCCCATGACAATTTGTCAATGAACACTGAATTTGCTTGTCACTGGTTAGAGATTTCTCAAAATTAGTCACACACAGCACCTCTCGCCCCTTCCCCAGCAAACACTGGTTGTTTCTGCCTTGGATATTTAAGTGAGTTCTGGATGCCTCCACGCTAAAGAGTGTTCACTGAATTAATAGTTAAAACTGCTGGGGCTGGCTGGTGGCATGGTGGTTAAAGCTGCTGGTCAAAGTCCTGGACCCAAAGGCTTGAAGAAACATGCTGGGTGCATGTGCGCATGCCTCACATCCGAAGAGGACAATGGAAAAGAAGGGATTGTGCTGTGGCCATTGCCCCTGGAGGAGTGCTTTCTTACTTTGTCTGTCTCTGTCTAGTGAACATATGCACCCTGTAGCAAATTTTAAAAAAAAGAA